CAGACTACACGTCGTCACATAGGGAATAGTAACGCTCAGGTTATTTTTCTTGTTATGTTGGTTTTGGCATGTCTGATTAAAGACCATTAAAACATGTATTAGAACAGGTTGGGGGGGGGGATTGGTCGCATTTTTGTCTCTTACCGACTGGAGCCCAACTTATTTCCCCTTCGGTGCGGCCTGAAAGCAACGGAAATCTGTTCCAGAACGAGGAAATTGTCTCCTGGTTCCTTTCGGACTGCTAGGCGCAAGCAGGGAGATCCGTTGCGTCCTACCATAACATAGCCGCACCGTACTAATTCACTTAATCTTCTATGAGAGAAACGTACACAATACTCATCTTAAATAGAATCAGTGACGTCAGGAAGTTCTCTCTGGGGCCTGGGTCTGTCCGCATTTCGCTTCTAAATCACAACTGAAACGGATTCATGATTTTCATGTCGATCTCTGTAACAATATCCGGAGTCGTTCCGTCATTAATATTGCCATCATGTAACTGACTCTCTGGTAGCAGAACCGGAAGGTTCATCACCGTTAATACTAAAGCCCGCCACTGGACACGATCCTGAGCCAGTTCCATCCACCTCCCATCCTCACAGCCCGCTTCCCTGAGATCCATCTTACTAATTAACTAACTCTAGTGGGAGAACCCGAAGGCCCAAAGCCGCTAATACCGAAGCCCAGACCGGTCACGGTAGCCGAGCGGTCTAAGGCATGCACTGTCTTCGCTCGCTTGGAAGCCTGGATCGTGGGTTCGAATCCCACTCAGGGCATGGATGTTTGTGTGCGTTCCTCTGTGTTTGTGTACAGGTGGAGGCCTTGCGACGAGCTGAACACCCGCCCAAGGAGTCCTACCGTATGTGTAAGATCTAGTAAACCGAAGTGAAACGGAGAGTTTCACGGAGGTAGGCCTAGGCCCAAATGAAGGCTGTAGCGCCAAGGGAAAAAAATACCAAAGCTCGCCACTGGACACGATCCTGAGCCAGTTCCATCCACCTCCCATCCTCATAGTCTATTTCCCTAAGATGCACGTAACTAATTAACTGACTCTGGGAGCAGCATCCGAAGGTTCAACACGGCAAATAAAAAAGCCCGCCACTGGACACGATCCTGAGCCAGTTTTCACGAGCCACGTGGTTGCACCCAGTTGAGTGGGTCCCATTCTTCTGTTTCGTGCTATCACGGTTTCATCAACAACCGGCATAGTGCAGCTGGAAGGTTGTTTTTTTTTTCCTTGGCACTACAGACCCAGTGGACCTAGGCCTACCTCCAGGGACTTCTCCGAGCTGGAAGGTTAGGCCAATCGAAAAGTCAAATGACATTATCGGGAATTGAACCCGCGACCTTCCGGCTCGTTGCATAATGCCTCAACCTCCGAAATATCCGCAGACGCATCTTGACAGCAACAGATGTTGCGTGCTTTAGGTTTTTCTCCCCTTTGTCAGAGCAAGGCCCGCATACAGTGTTTGGGAGAACCCTGGAGTACGTTTCCGGGATACGAAGCGCTGTTAGTACAGCTGGTATTTCACAACTTCCGTAATATCTCTGTTCCAAACGCCATATCATCAAGTTTTTACTCTCTTTTTAGTTTTATCACGAACTTTCCCAGAAAATAAATATTTTTACATTCCATCTATGAATTACGCTGCAATTCGTGCTTCAAATCCGTCTTTAAATTCCTCCTTTAACCGTTAGTAAGGTATGAGGAATTCCTCTCATATCCCTCAATTAATTAATTCGCTTAGTGGGGGGTGGAGTCCAACTGGGTCCTCTCGGCACGGCGGCCACTGATTGGCCTATTGTACCTGCCCCGGGTGATTATGATGATGGTGAATTTGGTGGAATGAAGAATGACAGGGGAAACCGAAGTACTCGGAGAAAACCCGCCCCAGCGCCACTTTGTCCACCACAAATCCCACTTCACCAGACCCGGGATCGAACCTGGGCCGCCGCGGTGGGAAGCCAGCGACTAACCTCTTGAGCTATGGCGCTGCCTCTCAAATCCCTTACTCAACCGAGCGGGTTATCTTGGCAGTAAAAATTTAGGTTTTTATTCGGGAGGTTCTTGATTCGAATCTCCGTCCTGACACTGGCTATCCTTTCCCTAGAGTCAGGTGTCTGTTTCTAGATCAGGCCACGACCACTTCCTTCCACATCTTCAATTTATCATCATTCTTCATCCTACCCTCCGAGGCTATGTGACCTCGAGTGTGAAATAACTTATAAAGAGCGAGAACTTGTGGAGCTGTGCCTCCTTTCTCCATTACGTGACGAGTATTCATCTTTGTATGTGTCGCAGTGAGGCCTGTTTGCGTTCGCGGGGGGGGGAGTGAAGAGTCGGAAAAGTTGTCAGGACGAGTTCTGACCTGTTCTGTCACTGAACTACTTTTCCGATTTCTTGGTTTTGCTCTCAGCGGAAGTAGTTCTGTGAAGATTTCAGTCTGAAAACTTCATGCAATGAGACCGTACTGGGATACCAAGGTGTAGATGGGAAGTTGGCTGGTCTTGTTCCTTTTCCGGGACGTTTCATAAGGAGAAGATATTAAACGCTGAGTGTCCCTGTCTACTGTCCCTCGGACCTGGCACATGTCCCCTCCAGTCCCTAGTTCTGTTGGACCGAAACCTATGTGCATATGAGAACATTGACCGAACACACTTCGATGCATAAGATGGAGGCAAAATGTACTTCCGAAACGTCGGCAGCACAGCGTACATCCACAAGGAGCAAAGACCCAAGAGCGCAATTAATGAACGGGTTAGTGTAGCGGTAACTCTCTTAGATTCGAATTAGTTGAAGCTCGGTTCAGATCTCGGACGGGACACCGAATATCTTGCGGGGTTTTCTTCGTTTTCCGTAGTCGCTCCAGGCAAATCCCGGGACAGTGTATTAATTAGGCCACGACCACTGCATCCAAATCCTTTCGAGTTCAACATTCATTTGTCATGCTCCCGTTCGAGCTACATATGTAGCTGCTGACTGATTGAGTGATTGAATTAATGAATGACTGACTGAATTAACAATGACTGAGTGGCTGATTGAATTAACGAATGATTGAGTGGCTGATTGAATTAATGAATGACTGACTGAATTAACAATGACTGAGTGGCTGATTGAATTAACGAATGATTGAGTGGCTGATTGAATTAATGAATGACTGACTGAATTAACAATGACTGAGTGGCTGATTGAATTAACGAATGATTGAGTGGCTGATTGAATTAATGAATGACTGACTGAATTAACAATGACTGAGTGGCTGATTGAATTAACGAATGATTGAGTGGCTGATTGAATTAATGAATGACTGACTGAATTAACAATGACTGAGTGGCTGATTGAATTAACGAATGATTGAGTGGCTGATTGAATTAATGAATGACTGACTGAATTAACAATGACTGAGTGGCTGATTGAATTAACGAATGATTGAGTGGCTGATTGAATTAATGAATGACTGACTGAATTAACAATGACTGAGTGGCTGATTGAATTAACGAATGATTGAGTGGCTGATTGAATTAATGAATGACTGACTGAATTAACAATGACTGAGTGGCTGATTGAATTAACGAATGATTGAGTGGCTGATTGAATTAACGAATGATCGACTGATTGATTAAATTAATAAATGATTGACTGACTGGTAGAATTAATAAATGATTCACTGACTGATTGAATAATTGACTGAATTTCTTTATTGTTTATTTACCGTCTGAACACAACAATTATCAAAGTCTCATTCACATTTACTGTGTGTACTGTGTTTATTGATCTTCATGGCATGGCAGTGCTACATGTTTCGGCCTATAGAGCCTTATGGGCCGTACACACTAACAACTGTTCTGAGACTAATGAATTGCTTTCTATATGAATTCATATATTACAATAATACAAAAAATTGCTAATGTGCCTGACTTTCTACATAGTTAATATATTCAACATTTCGTTAGAATTAATCCCATTCTTGTGAATGTTATAAAATCTGAGTGCCTAGGGATGTACATAATGGCGTCTATACGAAAATAAAACAATATAAAAATAATAAAATACACTCAGACGATTAATTAAAATGTTGCTGGTTATGTCGTGTTTAAGTATCTCGTAGTGTTCATATTGGTGTTCATCACTGCAACTATGGCGCTATGTTTTGATCGTGGTCAAGTTTGTTTCATTTCCGTATGGAGCAGTCGTATTGTTCGGAGCTGGTTGCTGTGATGTTCTCTACTACGTAAGATTTGAGGTTTTCACGGCGGTGACTATGAAGAATGCCGTTTTCTGGAATGTGGCGCCATGTAGATCTTGTGTGAAGCGACGTTTCGGAAGAACGTCATACTTAGTCTGCAACCACCTGCTCACGCTGGTTCCTCGCTCACGGATTTTTCTATCCTGAAGATGGAGGCGATAAATTCCTCCGAAACGTCGATTCACACAAGATCTACACGGCGCCACATCCGAGAAGACGGAATTTTTCAGATATATTAGTAATAGTTATTATATTATAATATATGGATTGATATAAAACGCAATTCAGTAGTTTGCGAACAGTTGTTAATGTGTACGGCCTGATGAAGGCTTTATATGCCGAAACATGTAGCACGCTGCCATACCATTAAGATAAATACACGTAAATTCATTTTAGAGAGTTAATGTGAATGGAATTTTATAATTGTGTCCAGAAGGAAAGAGTAATAATTAATTTAAAATTAACACAACAGGATGCACTCCTTGAAGTTTATTAACGTTTTATACCTCGCTAATTCAAAATCGCATATAGTGCTAGCTCACCGTACATTCAGCCTATGTTAATCCCTTAACGTCATGTCAGGCCAATCAGATGCTTCGTTAAATAGCTAACCGACGATAACTTCGAAATTTAAGGTCATTTGTCATTATTGAAATTGAATTAAGAGTAATAAATCGACGTTACGGGCAAGTCACTTCTCCGGCAAGATGCCAGTGCCACGTGACTAACTCCGCGCCGTGCGATTGGCTGTTTCAGGGACTCGGAGCGCGAGGCCGGGGAAGGACGGCGATCGAGGCGCGTGCCCAGCCTCAAGCTGGCAAACGGCCGGCTGCGAGTTGGGGCCGCGCAATCCGAGGAGGAGTTACGTTCGCCGCCGCCACAGTCTCGCCTCGCCAAAGATGACTCCATCAAGATCAGCATCGAGAACACGAACACATGCACAGACTCTCTGGTGACCGCCATTGATGACGAAGCCCTGCTTATTGCTGACTACCTCTCCAATTCCTTAACGAACATGAATTATAAAGAAAGCGGAAAAGTGCATTTTGGGGGTGATGACGTTAGCTTATATGGCACCCCTAAAGAGGAACCCGGACCTAATCCTTTGGGTGCTAATGAGAAGCAGAGTTTTATCAAGAACCAACTTCAGGCGCTGTTTCAACCTACTGACAACAAATTGGCTATGAAACTGTTCGGCAGCAAGAAAGCGCTCATGAAGGAAAGGATCCGACAGAAGGCGGCGGGTCACTGGGTCATCCACCCCTGTTCCAGCTTCAGGTGAGTGTTACATCAGTTACTTACCCCCCCAGCATCCCTTATTCACCCCCAAGACTGTGTCAGTGCAAATATTTATGTGTTGGCAATCGGTTCGTGAGTGTTAGCCCTGCACCAGCGGCACCGTGACTCAGTGTGAGTCTGCCAACCGCTGTGCAGCAACAAACTTCGTGAGTGTTAGCCCTGCACCAGCGGCACCGTGACTCAGTGTGAGTCTGCCAACCGCTGTGTCAGTAACAAACTTCGTGTGTGTTATGATATCAATACTGCAATGGTAGGGTGATTCATGAGTGATGAAATTATTTAGAAAAAAGTGGTCGTAACATAACAGAAATATTATCCCATCTCTTGCCTACGGAAACTGAAGAATAACACGAAAACCGATCAGGATAACAGGTGTGCTCGCCTAGATTCGAACCGAGCACCTACCGATTAAAAAATCTGAGAGTCGCAATTAGGTTAAGCCTTTCGGTGTTGTGTGTGGTATACAAAGTGTCGATATTAGCCCCGTCAGCAGCTGGAAGTGTCAGATTGACAAGGGAATCAAGAGCGTATTTTTTTCGAGTGGATAGGAAATTAACTTCGTATTCAGGGGTGGAACGCGGTAGCGTTGTTGGTTGAGGCAATATGCTACAAGCCGGAAGGTTGCGGGTTCGATTCCCGATTTTTTCAATTGACCTAAACCTTCCAGCCGCACTATGGCCCTGGGGTCGACTCAGCCTCTAACAGAAATGAGTACCAGGAATCTTCCTGGGGATGTAAAGGGCTGCCGGTGCGTAAGCCTGACAACCTCAGCGCCATCTGTCAGCCAACTGTCTAGAAAATATGGGAGCCTCGACGTCTCACAAAACAATAGACCTCTTCTTCAGGAGGTCTCATGTTCATATTTCGGTCTGGATACCTGATATCCTTACAGATGTGTTCGTGGTTTTATGCAGTTCGCCCAGACAAATTCATATTCGTTAATTATCCCATTGTTCGACTGTGTGTACTTTCAGCGTCGTTAAATAACCACCAAACCAAGTCCGATCGATTGACTAGCACTGCTGCTTTGTATTAGGTAGGTCCTGTGCTCGCATATCGGCTCGGTTAACGGCTGTCGTGACAAGTTCTTTGCGATTTTTCTAATTCCCTCCACGTAGCAGCTGGAGTAAGGTAAAGAGCAAGGTAAAGCTGCCCCTGTGCTTAACTAATTAAGCAATATGCCATGAAGGTGCATGGGGGAGTGGATGTATAGATGCACAGGTGTTCTGATTCTGTGAAGTTACGTCCTGCTTGGCAGAATTAATCTTTCTCTGTTCGAGTTGGCAGCAACGAACAACCTGACAGATTTGAATGACGTCGGAAATGACGCGCAAAAAATTAAATCCCTATCCGCGTTTTCGTGTGCTTCAGATTTTGAAGGATTAGGTCCTCTTGCCAGTTCAGATTCGTAACTGTTTCCTGAATCTGTGAATCTCATATAGACATTTTGTATGACTCTTTGGATGGGGGATCGGCAGTTGCCTTATATTTACAGGTAAAACATTAGTTTTCGCAGTCAGGAATGGTACTATTTATTCAGAAGTCTCTTTCTTCAGAGTAACGGGTCGTGGAGGCCCATAGGATTGTGAGACGTCGAGGCTCTCAGGGTTTCTAAACAATTGGCTCACAGATGGCGGTAAGGTTATCAACCTTACGCGCCGGCCGGCCGCCCTTCACTCCTGGTACTCATTTCTGTTAAAGGCTGAGTCGACCCCAGGACCATAGTGCGGCTGGAAGGATTAGGTCAATTGAAAAAAAAATCCAAAGACCTCTCGGGAATCGAACCCACGACCTTCCGGTTTGTAGCGTAGTTCTTTAACCAACTACTCTACCGTGTGCCCCGTATTTTAAGAGGTAAAATTTATAGGTGTCCCTGTTCTTAATTAATTGAGCACTACGCCATGAAGGTGTATGGGGAATAGGTGTATAGATCCACATTCTCTTGACCTCGACACTAGCTGGAGTTCAGTGGTCAGCTTTACACCCCTGCCGCTTTACACCCGGGGAAAAGCCCCCTTGTACCCATTGGATAGGAGGCTGGATGGGCCCCAGTGGCGGTCTTGATGGTATGGAGAAAAAAATTCTGAACCTACCAGGACAGGAACTCCGAACCCTCGGTTGTCCAACCCGTAGGCAGTCGCTATACCGACTGCGCTACCACTGCTCACGTATTTTAAGTGGACCATATAAATCTGTCAGTTGATATAAAATGCTGAAAGAACAGAAGGCCATTTTCTAAGAGAAGAGTTTGAAACGTGCCTTTGTTTATCCAGATTAACCTTGTCCACGCCAAGCACGAGATATCTCGTTTAGGAGCACTCGTGTGTTTATTGTATGCGAAGATCATTGGACGGAACACGTTCTGACGTCTCACAGCAGTTTACGTTTAATATTTATGGCTTCTCAAGAGCGCAACTTGCACGTTGTCTTGCAAATACACTAATAGAAGCATCGCGGAAAGTCTCAGAATGTGAAGCCCATTGTCACGTCTGTTGCATTATATCTTTACGTAAGGTCAAGGCTCATTATTATGCTGCTGACTTCAAAATGAATTCTCTAAACACATCCCCTAATCATGTCGGAATTTCCGAAGTTAATGAAATAGCACAATAAACCCTCGCAAATCCGGTTAAAGGCCGGTCACGGTAGCCGAGCGGTCTAAGGCATGCACTGTCTTCGCTCGCTCGGAATCCGGGATCGTGGATTCGAATCCCACTCAGGGCATGGATGTTTGTGTGCGTTTTTCTGTGTTTATCTACAGGTGGAGGCCTTGCGATGAGCTGATCACGCGCCCAAGGAGTCTTACCGTATCTGTAAGATCTAGAAAAACCGAAGTGAACGGAGTTCATGGAGGTAGGCCTAGGCCCACTGGGGCTGTAGTGCCAAGGGGGAAAATATCCTGTTGCAGTTAATCCGGATCGAAATATGAAAAACGAAAAATTTTGTCCACAGTCGAGTACACATTTTAAAGTACACAGGGCATCTAGGAATACAGATGAGTCACTTGTCTGTTCAGACAAAACTTGCAGCATTACTTTAAAAAACAAATACAACTTCTGAGTCTTCTATCAATGAATAACTGTATTTCCTTTTTATAGTTTTTAAATAAAGGATTTACAGTGATATTTTTTAATTTACTTTCATCAGCACTACTTATATCATTAGATTTTCATTTCATTTTTTTTCTCTTAGCGCTACTTTTGCTCCACTAATCCGGCTTATCTCTTAATCCGAATGATCTCCGGATTAGCATAGGCTTATTGTATATTCATTCATTGATTCATATGATTCTATAGTCCCTTTCTTAGACCTTGGCCGCATTTTTTCAGTTTCCTAATCCTGTACACAGTCGGTAGGACTCCTTGGACGGGGGATCAGCCCGTCGCAAGGCCGCTACCTACACTCGGAACAGAACAAACGCACGGACATCCATGCCTTAAGCGGAATTGGAACCGAAGAGCTCAGCGTTTGAGCGAGCGAAGACGGTTCATGCCTTAGACCGCGCGGCTGCTGTGACCGGTGAAGCAGTAGACAGGTCTATATAATTATGTTAACTACTGTAAGTTTCATTCCAACGCACTTCTCGAGACGATATTCAGCGCTTTATTGTTCGTCAAAAGTCGAACGGGTTGATATAACATTTCTCTCGACTTACTCGTACATTCGGGAGATGTTGGGTTCCAATCCCTTCCGGCACACTACCTATACTGAGTAAGGCTTTTCGAGGTTTTCTATAGTACCTCAATGCAAATTCCGGAAAGGTACGTGAATCTGACCACAACTGTTTCCTTCCAAATAATTTCGAATTCGTCATTTATCAGTCGCCATGTTGTTCGATATTGCATTTATCTGCAACGCCGACAGCGCTGTAAAATAACTCACAAAACGTATTGTCACATGTAAGTGGTTGTGTGCGTGACTTATGGACGGATTTCGGATTGGATAAATGAATTTGTTGACACCGTAAACACAGCACTCGGAACGGGAGACAATACAGCGCTATCGAAATTCTAGCGGCCGGGGCATGAAGCTGACCACTCATCTGCATCTAGAACCGAGGTCAAGAATGCTGGATCTGTACCTCCACTCCCTCATACATCTCCGTGGCATGATGCTTAATTAACTAAGCACAGGGATAAATTTACCGTTTTATCCTTTATGAAAGTGTTTATTTGTAATATTGTGGTGGCCACAAAGAAACGGTGTCATTGCCGGCGGGAGGGACGAGCCATTGCATACAAGTAACAGATTTTACCGCTGGTCTAACCGGGTTGATGTGCAATATGTTTATCATGACTTATTTTCGGTTTCTGTTCTGTGTGAGGTCAGGAGGTGGAGGGGGCTGTGGCCAGCCAGTACAGTTAACGCGTACTAATGTCAAGATGTCTGTTCTATCACGTCATTCCTCTGGGTTATTGAATACACAACGGGGCACCCAATTCTCTGTAGGAAAGAGGTTACATGATTTTCAGAACATTACATTTATTTAATTTTCTTCTAACCCATACCCATGATATTTTACTATATAAAAGTAAAAGAAAAGGTAAAGGTATCCCTGTAACTGGCCTTGGAGGCCCATAGGGTTGTGAGATGTTGAGGTTCCCACATTTTCTAGACAATCGGCTCAAAGATGGCGGTAAGTTTGTCAGCCTTACGCGCCGGCTGCCCTTTAGCCCCAAGAATATTCCAAGAATATTCCTGGTACTCATTTCTGTTAGAGGCTGAGTCGACCCCATGGCCGCAGTGCGGCTGGAAGGATTAGGTAAATTGAAAAATCCAATGACCTAATCGGGATTCGATCCCGCGACCTTCCGGCTTGTAACATAGTGAATGAACCAACTGCGCTACCGCGTGCCCCCTCATTTTACTATATGCATAACAAAATCCTTAGTGTTGACGCAGGTGGTGCATATGTTTACCACTGTTCCGTAAAGGAATGTTTTGTGTATTGTCTCTCTCGTCCGCGTGCAGATATCATG